AACCCTACAAACCGCAGCTACAACTGTAAGAAGATGCTACTGAAGATGGGATTTTTCTTTTACAGCTCTATTGCATTCTAACTGAAGCATAATAAATGGTACACATTTAAAGTATAGGTTTGATCAGTCTGATATAAACATTTACCTATGAAACAATACAATAAACATTCTGTCACTCTCAAGTCTCCTTGGGTCCCTTTACGCTCTATTCCTCCTCCCACCCCCATCCCTGAGCAGCCACTGATTTATATATATGGGTCTGCATTTTCTAGAACTTTCATATAAATGGTATATAGTATATATTCTTTTTTGTCGGGCTTCTTTCTCATAGCGTTAAGTTTGAGATTCATCCATGTTATTGATGTATCAATATATACAATACATACCTTATATTGCTAGATAAACAATTTGTTTACCCATTCGTATGCTGGGGGTCATATAGATTCTTTCCAATTTTTGGCTATTACAAATAAAGTGGCTATGACTATTCATGTACAAGTCTTCATATGAAACATACATTTTTTTATTCTAAGTAAATACCTAGGAACAGATTGGCTGGGTCTTATGGTAGGTATCTTAACTTTTAAGAAACTGCCAAACTGTTTTCCAAAGTACTTATAACCATTTTACATTCCCCCAGCAAAATATGAGAGCTCGAGTTGTTATACATCCTCACCAATAGATGGTATTGTCTTTTAAATTTTAATCATGTAGTGTTATCTCATGACTTGCACTCGAATTTGTGATGATTAATGATGTATATACCTTTACATGCACTTATTGGCCACCTGAATATTTTGTGAAGTATCTGTTCACAACTTTACTGTGTTTTGTCTGAGTTGAGTCTCATTATTGAGCTAAGAGTTCTATATATAATTCTGGATATAAATCCTTTGTCTGATGTATGAGTCGTGAATATTTTTCCCAGTCTTCAGTTTGCTTTTTCACTTCCTAAACAGGGTCATTTCAAGAGCAAAAGTTTTTAATTTTCATTAAGTCCAAATGATCAATTTCTCCTTTAGTGTTTCATGCTTTCTGTGATGCACCAAGAAGGCTTTTCCACTCAAGTTTACCTAGATTTTCTCCTATTTTGTTCTAGAAGCTTTGTAGGTTTTGGTTTTACATTTATGTCTATCTTCTACTTTGTGTTGACTTTTGTGTAAGGTGCGAGGTAAGAGTTGAAATTTTTTTTCAGTTGGTTCAGCACCAAGTGTTGAAAAGGCTTTACTTTCCCCACTGACTCGACCTCATACCTTTACTGAAAACCAACTATGTGTGGTCTATTAATGGATTCTGTATTTTGGCTCCTTAATCTATATATATATTTTTGCACTAATATCAAACTGTCTTGATTACCATACTTTTATCTAGAAACCAGGCAGGGTAAGTCCTCTAATTTTGCTCTTTATTAAAATAACTGTGGCTATTTCATATCCTTTAAGTTTCAAAAAGATGGCTGCTAGAATTTAGTAGGGAATGCATTGAATATATAGATTAATTTGGGCAGAATTCCTCATTTTGACAATACTAAGTGTTCCTATGAACATGGTTTAGATCTCCATTAACTCAGATATTTGTTAATTTCTCTCTAATTTTGATGCAGAGGTAGAGGCATCTTTTGTAGATTTATCTAGGTATTTTTTGGTACTACTCTAAATGTAAATTTTTTTAAATATTTGATTTAATAACTACATTTCAAATCCAGTGTTACATCCCTGCCATTGCTTACTCTCCTTTCATTCCAATTTTTAATGTCCTCCTACTATATTTCATGTATACTCACTCATAAGGTTCCTTTGGAGAATGAGGAAGACTTTTTAAAGTGAAAAAATATTTGATTTTTCGTATTTGACTCGTTTCCAATTACTTCTAATTAAGTAAAACAACAAATCACCTCAAAATCCTTAACAATGAAAGGTCTTTCCTGTACAATACATTACAATTTAAGAAATGCTTTCAGAAACATTATTTCCTTTGTCCTCCCAACAAGTCTATGATGCCTGATAAAAGTACACACGGTCACCTTTGAAGTGACAAAGATTCTATTCTGAATCTCTTCAAGCTTCTAAGATCCAACTACCAGCTTACAGAAAATATGATGAACAGATGCATATGTTAAATATAGCATTTACTGGGTTAAGTAAACCAATAAAATGGATTTCGCAGAAGGCACAGTCTAGAACTTGGGAACCCCTACTGGGCAAATAACCAGGCTTCTCCAAAAAATAAACCGCAAAGGACAGAGGAGGCATATAAACCACATACAATATGGACTTGTTGGGATCCTCTGAAAAAGGCAAAAACTAAACTCAAGAAGTTTACAAGACAATCAGGGAAATACAAACACTAAATGGATATTTGATGGTTTTTAAGGAATTACTGTTTACTTTTTTAGTTTTGATAATGGATTGTGGTTATGTTTTTAAAAGGAGTTGTTACTGTTAGAGTTAACAGGAATGTATTTATAGATGAATGGATATATCTGAGATTTGTTTCACAGCAACCTGAGGAGGCATGTGGGCAGATAAATGAAACAATGATAGGTAGACTGGCTAGTACTAATATTCTGAAACTGAGTGACAGGTTCATAATGGCCCACTGTACTATTTTTAAATGTTTCGAAATGTTTCTTTAAAAATTTTTTTAAACCCAAGAAATTGGTAATTGATTCATTTGTACTACTGAAGGTTTCAAAGCATAGTAAGTTGGAAACAATGGCAGATATATTACATTTTAAAACCATCGCCAATTGTTTTCTATAGCTTATTTTTCATCAAATCCTCACTGAAGTTGCTATACCATGTTCAACCAAAATTCACCTTCCAGATTACATACACTCTCAATCTATTTTAAAAGTAACTGTAGATTTTTAAATATGCTGGTTTCCCCTCTCATTTTGTAAAATCACCTTAAGACACAAATATAAGATATTCCCACTTAGATCAAAATATAAATCAGACACTATTCACAGGTTACATATTAAAGTCACCTTTATACTAAGTGGCATCAAGAGTCGCTAAGAATAAATGCATCTAATGTATGTAAATTGCTTTAATGTGATCAGGCAATGTTTAAATTCAAATTTTTACACTTAAATTTTCTCTGCAGACCCCTGTCAAATTCTAGAACTTAAGAGGACCAAATGAAGTAACTTCGTACAAGCAGTCACCAACTTACAAACACAGAAATCATAAATGACTCCCTTTATACAAAGTTTTACCTCTAAATATTTCACAACATAACCCCCAACCCTCTTGAACTTTTCCCCCAAACCTCCTACCCATTGCCAAGGTTCCACCTCACCGCCCCCTCTCACGGCCAGGGGGAAATAAGTTTCTGGAATCCAGAGTAAAAACTCAGGAACGCATTTTCCTACAGAAAAAAATATAAATTGTGATCTAGAATGCTGAGTATTATAATTCAGCTATACTATGTTTATAAAGGCTTTTGTGAACTAAAGCCTAAGAACCTAATAATAGCTCAAAAACAGTATTTCTATGAGAAAATGCATTCCAGGTTCAAAATAATTCAATGCAATCCCTTTGTAGGTTGGTGACTGTCTGTATAGTGCCACCAAGTAATATATATTTGACAAAGTCACAAATATTAAATTGAAACTGGGTACATAACATGACTGTTCACTCTGCAAATGTACTGTTAATCACTTTCTAAGGAAAATTAACTATATTAACTCATTTAAAAACTGCTATAATACTTACATTTAGCATTTCGAAATCATTGCTTTCTAAACCCTGTGCAAGAAGAACTGGAAAGCTATTTGTCTGTGGAAGGTCATCCTTTTCCCTTTTTGTATGTATATCCAGTGCTCCCAGGCGTTCTTCAATGCTAACCTACAGAACAGAAAAGATCTGTTAATGCTATACCAGAAGACCATAGTAGCTTGGTCAAATTACCTTGTGCGTCAGGAGACAAAAAGCACTAACTGATTCACACCTCAACCCTGGAAACCACTATTCTCTTTCTCATTCCAACAGAATCTCATTACCATAAAGCCAATGTTAGAAACAAGTGTAATGACTGCAACCCACGTTTCCTGAGTCTAGTGAAAAAAACTGTCCAAGAGGCCATGATCTGAAATGTAATTCATACAAATTGCTCTATATGAGGATTCATAACAGGCAAGGATCTGGCATCTGGTCACTAAAGCACAAGAAAAGACCTATTAGCACAGAGGCTTCTGGAAAGAGCACAGAAATGAATAAAATTTTAGTATACTGATATCAAAACTGTAATCCTACAATATTTAAGATGATAAAGAGAATATTAAGCATCTTGCCTTCACCCAAGTCTGCAGGAAACAAATATTATCAGAACAGCATAAAGTTACATTCCCAAAGCAATTTATTAAATGTCTCCGTACTTTTCTCTTTAAGACATGCCACACTACAACCAACTTCCTTGATAAAATATCTGAAATTCAAGTGTAAACAAACATGATGCAATTTGCTGTACAAAAACTCAACTGTAGAGAACTGATGCCTTATTAAAGCAACTCTAACAACCATGTTCTGCTATCCCCTTGGTAAGTAAATCAAAATACACATGTTCTACGACACCAAACCAAACAAATACGTGTTGATAAAGCCTCCTGTCTCAGTTAACTTAAGAAAAACGTAAAACAGGCACGAGGAAATTAAAGGGTTGGATCTATCTAGAACAAGCTAAAGAAGGGGGACACATTATTTCTAAATGTAGATATCCTGTTACTGAAGAATTTTTAATGAAAAGTATTGTTAACTCCAACCCCTTACCCAATAAAGGAAGACATTCAGGTAAAGAAACATAATGGTCTTTCTCTAATGACAAAACAGTTAAAATTCTAGGTTACTGAGGAGTGCACATGTGAATGGAAGGTGAAAGAGGGCTCTGCATAGGAAATACAGGAACCAGAGGAGGGTCTGAGGAGTTGGGATGCACTCTAAGAGGTTATTATAATGACGATTGCTTTCAAAGACCAGCTAGCACTAACCCAGCCAGGACTGCTCAGCCAGCCAAGAGAAGAGGTATCACTGGAACTCAGCAACATGCAAAACCCAATGGAAATCATCACAGCAAGTCCTGGCTTCACTTATGTTGTCCTGGTATTCAATTATTTTATCCAGTTAACTATGAACAAATGGCCAAAACAGTACCCTCTTTAGTGAGTATGAGTTCTGTCTTCTCTATTAACAGTGGCAAAATAAGACTTACAAAGCTCACAGTGGAATTTCAGAACCTACACTGCTTGGGAGGAGACAAACAGTAGAAACCTCTGAAAGTTTGATGTTTCAGCTTCGGCTCTATCCAATGTTTCGGTTAGAATCTTCCAAGCAATCTTTAATTTCGGACTCAAAAATAGTCAGAATGGTTGTATTACCTCCTTTTCCCCTAACTTCCTCTTGTTTTCTACTTCCTCAGCAGATGGAGGGGGAGGCTTGATGGCTGCACGATGACCAGGTATCCCAGGAACCAGAACCTTTGCCTCAGAATTCATCACTGGTGTTCTCACCTGTTCCCGGGAAACAGCAAGGATGTACCAAAGGAAATTATGCCTTAGTCCTTGCCAAATTATCCCCAATGAGAAAACGAATGGCTTTTAAAAGGTTTTTCTACTGGAAAACTTGATATAAGTTTTATGACATGAATTAAAGACAGATTTTGTTTGAAGATTGGCAAATAAGTTTGTAAATTATAATCTCAAAGTTCAGTTTTAAAACTTCCAATTCACTTAAGAGTAAAAACCAGGAAAACAAAATCTACAGATTACACACAAAAACACTAACTTAGGAATGTTAAAGATGAAGCTGTACATGTTACGACCACCTCCAGTAACTAGCTGATCTTTGCCAGAAATGCTCAGACAGCCAAGAGAAAGGTGTCATCTCTGAAACTCAGCCAGATGCGAAACCATATGTATGTCATCACAGCATGTCTTGGCTTTTCTTTTCTCTACTGTTAAACATATGATATCACATATAGGTACGTTGTATTCAAAATAAGGCATCACAATTATGCCGTTACGTATTCGTATTAAATTTCAGCCCCATTATAGTTTTAGGTTTTATTTTACCCTGAAATTACAGCATTCCTCCCAACAAAGTTTAAGTATTTATTAAGTTTAATAAATAATAAATTTATTTATTGATGAATTTGATATTGATATTTATTCAATAATGAGGTATGAGGGTCAGGAAGAACAAAATCCGAGGTCTTTAACTTCTAGTCAAGACTCATTGCACAAGTTAAGAGCAAAGAAATGAATAAAATTTTACTATATTGATATCAAAACTGCAATCCCACAATATTTAAGATGATAAAGAGAATATTAAGCATCTAAACATATTACATAACAATTCAATTCACTCAAATCTCTTTTTTCTCAACTTCTCATAGATCATGTTGCACTCACCTTTTTTACAGCCGTTTCTACTTTGGGGGCCCAGCAGTTTGAAAGATCTCTCACTAAACACATATGAGGTTCTTTGGAACTTAAAGCCTGGGAATACAATTTTAAAGGGTGCAGGGTGAGGAGGGGGGGAAAAGTGTCAAACAAGGCAACTGGGAGTAAGAATAAAATGAAAAACAAATACTTAACTTGTGAATTTTTATAAATATACAAAGTGTGGAAGGCTTCCACACAAAACTATTTGCCACTCAGACTGCTCACCACGGCAGCTGAGGAAACCAGCAAACTGAAGCTACTGTAAGGCAGGTTCACTTTCCTCAGTTTTGAACTGCTCCCATTTTTTCACATGTACAGTTTTAAAAGATCAACTATCGTTTAAATATAACAGATCTTAAAGAAAACATACTGGTTTATCACCCTTATACATGTAAAAAAAAAAAAAAAAAAAAGGAACAATCGTACCCTAAAATTTCCTACTGCTATCCTCCAACAAGCAAGTCAAAGTCAAAACTGCTGATTAACAAAATGTTCCAAGGTGAACCTCTATGTGCCGAGATGGTATCAAATGGGGGACAACGTCAGATGCAGCAATGTTCCTATGTGCCCAAAAGGCTTTCAAGTTCCATGTCATTCTCTATGCCCATACACACTCAGTATCTGGAAAGATACATACACAAAAAAGGAAATAGTGGCTCCATCTGGAGAGGGAGATTGGGGGCCCACTTATGGTACTTAAGGGTCCACAAGAGCCTTACATTTATAGTAATACTTTTCTCCTCTTTTTATTAAACCATATCTGCATATTAAACTTTTAAAAAGTAAGTGTTTTTAAATAAATTCAGTAAGAGCTTGCTTGGGCATGTAACATTCCACCCAGTCTCCCTGAAGATCTTACTGAAAACAGTATTATAAATGAAACCTTAAGAAATTTCCTAACATGATCTTAATAACTCAACAAGTCTCCAAAGAAACTTCTGTAATCAGAAAGTGAAATCATTGCACCGCCCACTACATTCCCACTTAGAAAATTTAATGGATGCTATTACTAAAGGTTCTTTTATCAAGATTCCCCTTTTGGGTAGCTGGACAAAATTCACTCATCCCTGTGCTGACCAAAACGATAGCCACTAGGAATGAGTGGCTACTGAGGACTTGAAATGCAGCTCATCCAAACTGAGAGGTATTTGTAATAGAAAAATAAACACCAGATTTCAAACACACCAAATAAAGGAGAAGGGGGAATAAAGGAATAAAGTATCTAAATAATGTCTTTAACTTGATTAAACATTAAAATATCTTGGATATACTGGATTAAGTAAACTTTATATAGAGAGTTCTCATAAATTAAACCAACCAGTAAAATGTCCTTCAGTTAAGGGAGAATATATGACTTCTTTTTAAATATTCTCATAAGCAGACCATGTATCATTTTAAAATCATTCTTTTCCATGGACATGTTAATGCTATACTGCTTTACTCCAGACAGGCATCTACGTACCATTCGCTCAATGGTGGGCTGAAACCAATTGCCATATACAAGCAACAATGACATTTTGTCTGAGCAAAAACCAGCTGCTAGAATAGGGATGGGTTTTGGTGTTGATTTCTTGCCTTTCCCAGATGTGGCTATCTGAATTGTGCAGTTTGAAGTCAATGGCTTTTTGCAATATCTAGAAAAGGAAAAAAAAAATCAGATTAGAAATTTTGAAATAACATACTAATTAAGCTGGCCATCAAGTCATGAAATGTGACCCTCCTCTGGCCTCCACACCACCAACCCAGAATGTCCTGTCAAGACTTCATCTATTCCCACCCTGCCAACATTCAAGACCTCACCACAAAACTCTGCCTTGAGACCCATGTGCCTCTCCATCCCACCTTGTCAGCCACCGCTAGAGGCACCAAGCTCTCGAGTGCACTCTCCCCACCCTGAGCTTAAGCCCAGATGGCTCTGTACATGCCCTATTCTAATCAGCCCTGTCTCTGCTTCCAGCCCCCGAAGACCCACCATGCCTTGTGCAAAACAGTTCCAGGACTAAAATTATCAGCAAAATATCATCAACAAAATTAAACCCTCAATTTCTTCCCCAAGGACTCTCTTTATCTCCCAAGTTGTAGCTGTTTTCTCTCCAACACACTTTGTGCTGGGGCCGTGGACATGTGTGCTCCTTGTTCTCCAGTAACACTTCGAGACACGTAGTCTCTCCCTCCTTCAATTCTAAAACCTTTGAAACTGTTGTCACCAGATCCCAGCTATTTCCCCAACCTGCCATCACCCAGTGACCTTTGGTCACTCCTCCACATTTCTTAAAGATTTTAGTGGCTCATGCCATTCTATCCATCACCAGTCCTGAGGAACTCCTCTCTTGGTGGCTTCCATGCCCAGTCCAACACCCTGTCCTCTCAGTTTTTCACCCTTCCTATTCCCAGCAACCCTGCCCTTCCCACTACCTCGGCCACTCACTCCTCCTTGCCGGCCATCTCACCACCAAGCACATGCCCTCCACCCTCTCAGCTATAGGCACCCACTCTCCCTACCCCTTACTCACTCCTACTAGTATGACTTCACAGCCACATCTACTCCAGGCTTTTGGCCTCTGCGTTAGCCTTCATTCCTCTGTGAGTATTTCCAACACATCAGACAGAATGACCTAAAATTTAAGTCAAACTTCACCCATCCTCTGCTTAGAATCCTTCAATGGCTTTACTATTACCCAGGGGAAAATGTCCAAGTCCCCACCGTGGCCCAGTACTTCAGGGCCCTCAATTATACATTCCACATACACGTATGACTATGTAAATAGAGGCCACAAGTGTTATACACTAAACTGCTAAAAGTTACCTCTAAGGAGCAAAACTCAATGAGACTTGGGTTTTAAAAGCAACTGTCTATGCATCATCCTGGATGCTTTAAAATGAGTGCATACTGCTTTCATAATTAACTTACATTTAAATAAATTTCTGTACTAGGATTGTAAAAGGAAGGCAACTGACAATAAAAGTTGAAACCATTTTAAAGTTTAGCATTAACTACGCACATGACTGAGTCGCACACCATGTTTATAGTGTATGGCTAAGGTTGGTAAAGGGCCAGAGAGTAAATATTTTAGTTTTTTGGGGCCATGTATGATCTCTACTGGATTTGGCCTGCAGGCTATAACTTTCTGACCCCTGGTCTATGTCACTGCCCTCTGCCCACCAAAATACATTGCCAGGCGTCACTGACCCATAGTGCACCAAGGGGAGGCACCGCCAAAGGCAGAAATGCAGGCTTCACCAAAGTTCATAGGAAACTTTCTGGTTGAACTTCCTTTTAAAATTTATCATTAGAATTTCCAACATTTACTAAGCAAGCATCATAAAAAGTCACTCTCCTAGCCACAATTATGAAGAACTGGGTCCACAACTCCAAACACCTGAGTTCTCAATGAGAACATATATCATCATATGGATAAAGAATTAAGAATGCTTTTAAAACAATCTGACAAGTAATATAATGCAAAGACTACCCAGGTGTTAATATATAGAAATAACAAGTCAGAAGAAAACAAATTTCTGACTTGGAAACTTCTTACTTACCCATTTAATATGTGTTCAAAAAGATGAACTTGACCATCTCTGCATACAACAGCTAACTTGACAGGCTAAAAGAAAAATGTAACTGGTTACT